GTCAGTGGTGGGGATATTTGCCATTGGGGTTTATACTGTTTGTCTCTGTCTCTTATACACATCTAGGCGTTATATAAACTTATTAGTGTATGTACAGGAAATATGTTTTTTACTTTACAGATGATACCAATGGCCTTAGATATTTTGTTGCATAAATATTGAATGTGGGATTTCCAGCTTAAATTTTCGTTTATACAATACCTAAGAATGTGATGCTATCCATTCTTTTTAGGTTTATACCATTTATTTCGATAGAGATATTTTGTGACTGCTTCTCACGGAAGAGCCCCTGGTAGGGGTGAAAGGGGATAATCTACCTTCAACCTTTAGCATCTTTATTAATTAAATGTTATATTTAATTGATTTTTACTAATTAGCTTGGTAATTTTCTGATAAACTTTACATTTTTTTTTACAAAAGGAAGTGTACACCCCTTACGCCCTCTAAATCCGCCACTGGCAGATACTAAACCTGCAGTAGCATATCCGGGGGAGGGGCACATCCCCAAAAATCTTGTACCTCTGCCACAGTGCCCCACCCCCACCACTGAAAATGTTCGAAGCCAAAAAAATCATGCTCAAGTAGTTAAAAATGACCTTATTTTGCAATGTAGCCCCTCGCTTAAACATTAAGGCCCCCCCCTCCCAACACATCAACTTCACAGCATGTCACTTCAAGATAGATGCTACTATGTACCTGTGATGCTACACTTTAGAGTTGCATATTAATGAAGGTCTTGTTTTGGTAATTGAAGAATAGAATTTCAAAAATAGAGAAATCTTCATTTAAAGTACAGAAACCAATTATGAAACAATCTACTCGATTGCCAGATAACACATCTAGAACTTGGGAATATTTTTTTTATCATTTATGCTGATCTACATTTATGACATCAATGACAATTATCATTAAAGATTATTCAGAAACTAAATGAGTTTGGTTGTTAATATGATCGTTGGAGCATGGTTGGAGTCAATCTCCTCATCTTTCCGATACACCCTACATGATAAAAGTTATTTAATGCATACCAGGCTCTCTTCCGTAAAAAAAAAAATGCAATTATATTAGCCTGTATTTTAGCACTTAAACAGAAGCGCAAGAGTAGTAAAGGAGTTGAACCATAATTCAAGGATTCCTTGGCCCAGCGCACACAGTGGCTAATTATGTAGCTCAGTCGACTCAGCTATGCTACTCAATGTCATCTATTTTGACAAATAATTTATCCTTAAGTGACATATTTAACACATTTCCATGACAACGAATCTTCGTGATTAACCTGTTATATGAATCTTAATGATCAATTCTTGTTTTTCTTTCCATTTTTCTCTCACTTTCTCTCAATTTGATTCAAATTTGATGCATTAATTCAAGTTTTAAGGACACAACTAGATAGTAGTACTGAATGCATACGTGAAACAATGTATTTTAAATACAACTTACTGAAATAAAGTATTTGAAAAAAAAACATAATCAATTCCTGATAAAATTTACAAAATTCTTATCAATTTTTTTCCTTTCACTCATAGCAAAACTGGGCAGAATTATAATACTGAAATGACCATATTATGTTTTTTATACAATTAATTTCGTTTAAAGGTGTAATGATAATTATACTTGCAAATTTTTGTCTTTTATAACATTATTGCAATGATTTTTTTCCGTTAATTAATAATTGATTTTAATATGGTATACAGATTCTTATATATTTAGAAGAAATTACAATAGTTGCTGATATTCGTGCATGCAAAATACACTTTAAGGCTAGCAAGAGTGTATATGCAAATGAGACGATCCACATACTTGCTAAAGGGAGTCAGCGGTACATAAAAAGAGCTATCTACATACTGCCTACAGCCCGTGGCACGCGTGTGCAGATGAGATTATACAAGTATACTGTATCTCGTCATGCGACACCATCAAAATTAACGGTACCGTCAATCGATTGGGGAGCCACCTTTTGCTGTAGTACGCCAGTATATATATTTCTAATTTTATAGTAATAAGAAAAGGATCAGTCGGAGTAAGGACATTAATATTCAACGTTGGTTATTTAACAAGGACTCAAGGACCAGATGTGATATGATTAGTGTCTGAAGGAATCCAATTGTATACTATACACATGAGAAACATAATCCAAGTCTACTGGAGCGATCAAGGTCAAAACCAAAGTAATATTTATTTTTTTATCCAAAGAGAATTGCATTACTCTTCTATAGTGTAAAACATTAAATTATTTAAAATGGATAAAAGATTACAAACAACAAAGGACAAAATATGGCTATCAAAATACTAAAAACTTGTTAACACAGAGTATATTAAAATATTTTAATAAAAAAGCACAGAAAATTAACTTGTATTAATAATATTAAAACAATAACTCACAATAAAAAATTTTTTTTTAATTTGACAAATTTTTTTTAGTGTTTGAAAATCGATACGTACCTCCATCAGCATAGGTTTCCTGGCCGTACCCATCCTGAAGCCCACTACACCAGGTTCCTTCATACCTTGCCCCACTTGCTAAACTTTGTATCACCCCATATTTTCCCTTATAACCCTGTGTCCATTCCCCGCGATAGACCCATCGGCCTTTTGTTTCTACACCAAGTCCATGACGCCGACCGTTCTCCCAATGGCCTTCAAAAGTGTTACCGCTTGGCCACGTGTATACACCAGTGGTTTCAAAACCGTAGTGCCATGCACCGCTATATTCCCCTTTGTTCTGCGGCCCGGTACAGATGCCATGTCCGTGTGCTTTACCCTCTTCCCAACCACCGGTGTATGAGCCACCGTCCGCGAAAATAAAACGGCCACCATTCATTTGGTCTCCTAGCTATTGAAGCTCCTGTCTAATAATGCCTTTTGCATATCCTGTAACACAGAAAAAAAATGTAAGTCTGTATTTGATTCATATATCAACATATTGTAAGAATAACATATTTATGGTTTTAATCTCAACCTGCAACTATAATTCCTAAATCTAGGATGGAACTAGTGTGCTACTTCCATTTGTCACTCACGCACAAAGGGCACAGATGGAGGGTCCAGATCACCTTAGCCCTACCATGGTTGGGGCTAAAGACTAACTAAGGTCCAGGAGATTTGTTTTTTCTTTTGCTTTATTCTAATAAACGCATCACATGGAAATTTTAATTGAAATTGAACCGACTTTACTACTAGATGTGGAAAGAAGAAACGAGAATTTGACAAAAATTGGATAAATTCAGAGACTGTGGTGGATGGAAGGTAGAGAAGACTATTTATCAACATCATCAAACAACACAGCCTGGCTGCTACAGAGCCTCAGCTAGGCACAGATTTTCTGAGCGATGAGGTAACAAAAGATGAGCCTTTAAAATGAGTACTTTAACGCTTCTGCGTTGCTTATTATTATACATATGACACATTGTGACACATTACTAACAACAAACGTGCAGTAAATTATACATTTATTCATGTAACTTACGCTTGGTTTGATTTCTCTCCGCTTCGTCTGTCAGTATCACTTTACTGATGTGATTGTGGCAAAGATACCACAGTCCGCGCTCTCTGTCCGCAAAGAATATTCTTTGCTGTCCGCTACTGGCCGATTGGTGGACGGCGATCGGATAGTTTCGTTAGAGTGACTTTATAGAGGGCGGCAATCATATAACATTGTGTTTCAAGGTTTATGCGTTCAAGTGAGAATGGTTCAGTCTGAAGTTTGAAGCAGCGATCTGCTTGAAACTGGAAAACCAAACCGACACAAACTAGTACATATTTAATTGTTAATACCTACTTTGTATTATGCTGTTAAATATAATAGATATTTTGAGCTACATAATTCCCCTAGGGGATAACTTCAACCAACAGAGAATAGAAGTCAACTGTTATAAGCACTTCATTTTTTTAATCGAATCTTTTTTTTTCAGATTTTATTAAAAGATTTGAGATCAAACTGAAATAAGCTTATGAGATGTTGAGTGAAAGAAGATAGTAAAATGCACGTACCTTTACTGGAAATTGCAAGCCGATGTAGTAAGAAATAACTCATAACACTAACAGGGCCGCCGAGAGGTTTTCTGCCTGGCCAATTGGCTCGGGTCCGGGCCCCAGCGGGATACAGGGGATGATCCGGCATTTTAATGAATTAAGAGGACTTTTGATTTTAATCAATTAGAGTACATAATTTCACCAGGTCATGTACAATAAAGTAGGCCTATAGAAACATGAAAAGTAAACGCTATCTTTCCCTTTTTTCGAACGTCTATTTTTTATTTTTAAATTTTTTTAAATTTTTGATTTAATTTGTACCGCTAGCCACCCGCCCCGGGCTCCGGGAAACTTTCCCCGCTGCCCCGGCCTATTGGCGCCCTTAGGTTAAAGCTATTAGAGAACCCATTTTCATAAGCTTTAATTATTAAAATCAGTGGTATCAACCAGTGTTTCAGTTGTCGATTTTCACAACGTCGAAGTCTGAAATGTACGGAACTAGAGAAAGATTAATTAATAAATTAACTAACACTAGTGGTCTATGCATTTATGAGATTAATAACGGCTTTTGCTAATTATGCCGATGGACGACATTTCAATAGATATTTATTAATTTAAAACAGTTTTACATCGAAAGCTCTAGTTTCCTCTTCATCCCAACCCACATACAGTAATTGAATAGTATAATAAATTATTGCTTTGTGAACAAATCAGACATAATAACATTACTACCACCATTAAATTAATTTTTCATAAAATCCAATCGTATTATGGAGAAATTTAATTCTATATAAATCGTGATAGGTTTCAAAACGTAAAGCGTTGATATAGTAATAATATATTAAACTACATTACTGTTATTTTATATCAGATTTAATGAAAAAATATTGAAAACGCCACCATCGGTTGATTCTTGCGCTATCCCGGATGACTGGTTTTTACGGCAATGGCGACTTACTGGTGAACGTTTGCGATCGACCCAAGACCTGAGAAGTAACACCCATTTAGAGGTTTATTGGAAGAATAGCACCATGGTGTGCAAAAATGAAGTATTGTCGTGGTTTAAGGAACTCAATATATTTAAAAGACTTGATTTTGTGTGTGCTTTGATGGACTGTTGTAACCCAATTGAGTTGCGTTTTCTAGGGACGTATGTTGAAGACCTCGGCCGCAAGGACTATGATCGGCTGAGGGAATTCCAAATTCATGCCAGCAACGTCCAGTATTTATCAAAACTTACAGACGTGAATGACATAAGAACACTGGATAAAATGCTAACTAGTTTAGCATTAATGGATTCCACATTTAAAGAGGGTGCTGAGGTTATTTTCGATATACTTAAACAGCATACGGACACAATTCTATATTCCTACCAAACATCGGTGTCTATCGAGCGAGTTGTGTTGTTGGCTGTGATGGCTGTAAATCATCCAGCCTTCGAATTCAGTCAGAAACAGGCTCTGCGAACTCAGCTCTCTGTCCTCCTTCAAGCCGTGGAAGTTAATGATGCTGCATGCAATCAGGTCAGCCTGAATATTAAATACAATTACTAAATTTCTATTAAATTATTGATTTATTAAATGTAAAAATATAAGGTTTTATTATAATTTTGCGTAGGCCGTTGGAAATACAATACACGATGGTTCTCATCAGCACTTCTCAAAAAATGGTGAGAGATTTTTGTCAAATTTCATCTTTCATCACAGTATTTTAATTTAAGTATAGGGCCTAGGACTATAACTGTAATTCGCATTTTTCGAGCATCGCTCTCACTAAAGCCAAAAATATGCTTAATAAGGAGGAGTCGGAATTTAATGAAATTAAACCAAATAGAAACAAAATATTATCAGCTGTAGTTTTTGAACATTTTACCTCTGTATTGTTTCATAAGATGAAAGATTGACTTTTTTGATGCAGGGACTAAAATCGTGAGCAGGGGCTGGCGAGAATCATCATTCATTATACTTAATCCTTGCATAGCCGTATTAACTATTATGTACCTAACTAGGGACCTGGCTTACCTACCTACAGTAGTTAGATTACTCACTGTCTATATAATTGATTGAAGATTACCATAGTATTATAAATATGAAACTGATAAGTGATTTTCTAGCCAATTATTTAATCATAACAATTTATTGATTACATATTAAAGTAAAGTAAATGTTTATATACTTCCATGATATAGATAAGTAATACAATTTCACAAATTAAACACTGAAATATGATTTGTTGACAATAGATAACTATAATAAACAAAGTCGTGAATATTAATTATATTTGTGTAAGATGTCAAATTAATTTAGACTGTTAATTTGCCTTTTATCGAATGTCTGATAGGCATATCAAAATTACATAATACCAGCATGCATTGTTCCCATGAATGTTTTCAAAAAAACATTAATTACTAGTAGGATAAATTATGTCTAATGTGAACAAAAAAACATTTGAAAAAACTTTTTATAAAATGATAACGCATGTTTTCTAAATTATCTCAAATGAGAAGCGTTAAGAGTAGAAAAAAAAAAGATAAAAAGATATTTCACATGCTCAACTAAGTAATGGAATGAGTTATACTCTATGGCATTCTTCATAGTATAATGGTTTGTTTTGGTAGTATAGAATCCATATTCTACTACTTCAATATTGATTTATATGGCTTATTATACAACTATTGTTCTTTTTGAATTTTCTTGTTTTGTACCTATATTCAGATCTATGCAATTAATATTAATGAAATATTGATCTGTTGCTTAGGGAACTGTTGAAAACGGCAATAAACCAAAAGTAAAATAAACGGCAATAACCAAAATGGCAGTTTGGTTTGGACTTTTCTGATGTAAAATACACCAAGGATAGCCCATGGAAATCCAGACTACACGTATAATATTTCCAGTGGGTCATTGGTGAAAACCCTGCTATCTTCAAATATTTGCACTTGGGACCAATGGCTTAAATGTTGCCAAAAAGACTGTGTGCTATCGGGTTTGTAGGGGAGGGCGGTGTGGTAGAGGCTGGGTGAGCGGAGGTGGTCTGTGTTGTAGATTTCTTACCATATCGGTATTGCTATTCTGATTAATTCTATTTTTTTGCTCAATGAAATACATTGACAACAGTAATTTATTTGTTTATATACAACATGTTGGATGGCCGAATGTGTAAAGGCATGGGCGCTTCAACGTAGAGTATAGCCATAATCGCTGGTATTTTTTAAGGACATGCTTGCCTATGGTTCTGGTGTTGAAACAATAAGGATTATAAGCTGTAGGCCCTGTTTACACAATTTGGCTCATGTGCACTTAACAACCCAATACATCTTTTGAGACGAGTAGGGGGCTACCTCGGTGTACTGGTCCGTTTAGCCCTTGTTGTGGGCAGATGAGAGTAGCTGGTACTGTTTTACCTGGGGAGCTTAGACATGAAGACACCCTTAGGGGAGAATCAAGTTACTATACAGTAAGAACTAGTCCACACCTTGAGTGCTTTTTAGACCGTTCCGTTATAAAGCTCTATATAAATGTAACTACATTACATCTATCTACTACAGGGCAAAGTATGAGACACATGCAGCCTGACACCAATTGTGTTGCTTCAGAAGAGATGTAAGAAACTTGGACCATATAAATCCCCTGTTGTTATTGCTCACTGCCAATCATCCAAAAAATTGATTATTACAAAATTTGACTTAAACGTCTTTGAAAGTTGCAAAATAAAACAAAATATAGTTTTTTTTAAATTTTCTGCATTATCTTTTTCCATAACCTTAGATAGGACCCATCAGGTACTATCCCTCCTCCAGGTCAGAATGAACCTGGAACCCATTCCCTATACAGTAGCCTATTGTATTCAAATGATGAAAAAAGGAGAACACAACTGTTGACAGAACATCAAGTTGTCTAAACAAAAAACAA